ATTATAGATGTACATTTATGCATATATTATTAAAGTACAATGAACATTATAATAATTAATTATTATTAAATAGGAACAACTGTATGGTACAACTCTATCCTTGGTCAATTACTTATTATGTTCACATCAATTATTGTTAAATTTTATTTATGAATACGAACCAAATGTAAATTTAGTAATTATTATTAATTCTTTACTTTTATAATCTTAATTATTATTACTTAGAAACATGTTCTTAATTTGGGCACCTCGTTGCTTCAAGAGTATCACCATAATCATTATGATTTAATTGTTAGCAATCAGTTGTTTATGCTAGAAATAATGACCGGGACAAAAATTGATAAGAATGACAGTAAGCTATCTATGTTTACTTTATTTGATGTTTGGGTAAGTTAATTTTAATATATTCGATCATGTTAACATTAAATTAACATTGTTTATACTTATGCTTTTATGATTTATTATCAAGATATGGTTAAATCTACTATTTAGCATTATGACCATTTCTGGTTTATTGCAAGTGCTATATAAATACAATAATCAAGTATTATCATTAATCCAATTGCTATTACATCAAAATTCACCAAGTTTGGCAAATTTATTATATTCACCGAAATACAAAAGTAGACTCGACCGATTATTAGGAACCTCGCTAATATCACTATGGTTACTCAGCTCTTTTATATTAACACGATCATTTACGAGTCTATTGCTAAACACCTACATTAAAATCAAATCCATCCCATTGTATAACACGTTGGATGAAGTGCTGGCCGATAGGGATGTGTATATCGCCGGCAATCCAGCGTATTATAAAGATGTTACGGAAATTGATGCTCGAATTGAAAGCTATCATAAGTACCTAGATACATCATTTTTCTCTAATGCCGACCTGTTAAATGAGGCGACGTTTGAAGCGATGATGGTGGGAAAAGTGGTCATTTTTGTCAATACACCCGTTGCCAAAGTGTTTGATGAGGAGTACAGGGAATTGAGAGAAAATTACGTGAAACTTGATAATAAATATTTTCCCACATTTTCCTTTCGATCCGTTGAAAAGCAATTTGTTTTCAACAGCCAAATGAATAATATGTATGTATAAAATCATTAATGTAATATTAATCACAACTACCACGATGTTTATTTACACTCCCTGAACCCGTAATCATTAGTTCCATAAAATTGACCAGGGCTAACTCAAATCGCATAGTATTAATGATTACATGATTATGATATTTTGCTAGATTCAAGAGGGTGGTCGAGAACGGCCTGGATATACACAACGAGCTGATTGGCAGTATTATTAGAAAACATACTAAACTAACGGATAATTCAACAAAATCCATAACAAGAAGCAGTTTTGTTGCAATACATAGCCTTAAATTCAGCGAAATTTCTCAAAACACAATTTATATACTTTATATCGGATTTTGTCTCTCAATCGTTAGTATTATTTTGGAAAACCTTATATTTCGCTGCAAAGAGAGGCCAGTCTTAGCGCCTTCTTTGATAAGAAGGCCATACGGTGTGAGACCTGTCCGCTGGGGTCGGGCTATAATTGTTGTCTGACCGGACATTTGTACAACATTGTGACCACAATACAAATTAATTCAAAAATATTGCTAAGGTCCCATTAAAAATCAACAGTAATTGAGTCCATAGTCAATAATAACCCCGGTAATTTTCATTTTGATGTAAAAAATACACACACGGCAAGTTAACAAACACTAGCAAATCCAGTAATTAATCATGTAACTTTTTTGCTATATTTAAAAATTCCTTATATTTATCATATACAGTTTATAATAACGCATGTAATTTTATAAAAATATATTTATTTACTAAAACTAATAGCCAACACATCGGGCCTAACACTTACCGCTTGAAAGGCCGCACCACTGGATATATTGACAATTACACCACTACTGGCCTCCAAGTGCTCGACACACAAATGGGTTAAATAAACCAACGAATGGAGAGTAACGTTAAATGTTTGCCTAAATTTCACTATAAAGTCACTGTCGGTAAAATTGGTAGTCATTTTAAGGCCGCAATAGTTGACCAGTATATCGATGCGGCCGTACTCATCGACAGTTGACTGTACGACGCGTTTACAGTCATCTTCGTCGCTAATGTCGGCCATCACTTCCAGAGGTTTGAGTTTAATGGGCGATACTTTGCGACACTGGTTGGCCACGGCGTTCAACTTCAGGCCGTATCGGCCAACGATCACTACACGAGCGCCCGCTTTGGCCAGTTTGATGGCAGTGGCGGCCCCCACACCAGAACTCGACCCAATCACCAAGGCCACTTTGCCAGTGAAATCAGCTTGAGTACTCATTTATCAGGGTAGTTTTTTCAATTTAACTAGTTTGTAAGTTTTTAATTGTACTAATGTTGGTTGGATTTAGTTAAATGTCTGCCGCAGACACGTTATAAACATTAAAAATGGTTTTGTTTTATTATGTTTATAAATATATAAAATAATCATGAGTGTGACATCATGTAGTTTTATCTATTTGATAAAAGGTTGACAAAATAATGCATATCATTGATATAAAATTTTATTATGCTTTATTTTTGAAATTTACGGCTTATGGTTGTGTTGGTTATGTGTTGGCTATTAGTTTTAGTAAATAAATATATTTTTATAAAATTACATGCGTTATTATAAACTGTATATGATAAATATAAGGAATTTTTAAATATAGCAAAAAAGTTACATGATTAATTACTGGAGAGAGAGAGAGAGAGAGAGAGAGAATTTTAATAAAATTGCAACATTGTACATTTATCTCAATCACAATTAGGATAAAAGGCCTTTGTATAAGTTTGATTTACTAAAGTAAAAATAATGTTTAAACAAGAATCACATGGTGATATCTATATGTTAAACACCATGCGGGTGATACTCATAGAATTTCATAGAATTAGCATTAGTCCCATAAATTTACCATTGTCCATAGACTTATCATTACTTACATAGACGTAGCATTATCGTCTTCTACGTTAAGTTAATTACAGAGGTAAAAAGTAAATAGGAATAAGTGCATTGAGCAATTAATACTCTCATCTGGCACACATTACAAGCATTCAAAGCGTTATCATCAACGTTAGCTAATATTGAACTTAGCACCACGATCACCAACTCGACAAATAATTATAATCTCATCAAGTACAATTGTGTCATTTATTTAAACATTAATTAATTTGGTATAATTTTGGTATAATAATTGATATTTATAACAATAATTTGATAAGTAATATAAAGTTATATACATTGAAAGTAAAATTAAAGACAAATCACGCGTTATTTGAATGCTATTTTTATTAATCTATGAAAACAAACACATGTTTTTTAAGATTAATTCAATTATATTTTGTTATTATAAAAGTATAGCTTAAATAATTGCATAAATAGTTTTAATTAAATTATAACTAAACATTTGTTTAATAATTATTTTACACATAGTTTTACAACAGTTTACCCGGAAGTATGGCATTAGCTTGAAGTTCTTCAGCTCGAAAAAATAAACATAAAACTAAAAATTTATATAATTATAAAATTTTTGTTAACTTATTCTGTATAAAATCTACACTAATTAATTTTATAAATAATAATATTTATTATTCTTAACAATTTTATATGATTTAGATTAGTTAACATTTATTTATACAATATTTATTCAAAGTTAACATTTATTTTTTTGAGCTGGTGTGTTTCGAGATTTTGACTTTCGTGCTAATGTCTACGTTTCTGTTTATTTAATAGGATAATTGCACACACCATGGTACTAATACAATTGATGACGCTAACCCTAATCCAGGGATTAGCGGCCGATTTATGTCCAAACAAAGTGGTGATCGATCCGTGCGTTTGCCGCACGACTGACGCCAACAAAACCAGCGTATATTGCGGCGGCGATCGCGCCGTTGACTTGAGCGCACTGTTTCGTAAGCTAAGCAAAAACCTCTCGCCGTCACAAAAACATTTCGACGAATTACTGGTCAATAACACAGCGATCGGTGAATTAATTGCCGACACATTCGCCGACATAACCTTCGATAGGATAACGATAGACCGGGCACTCAGTCTGTCCCGTCTGGACGCCCGCGCCTTTGCCGGCACCGCCGCCGTCACAAAATATATCAAATTAAACGCTAATCCGATGCTTAGTATTGAGAATACTAGCGGTTTGTGTGCAGTTTTGGGCCAATTATCGGCTATTAAACTGTTGGACTTGTCTTATAACGTGAAAATTCCCGGAATTCCCGCAAATTGTTTCTCAAAACGGGTGGCAAATTTAACCGACATCTACCTTAGAGGACAGGCGATCAAAACCCTAACCCCCGGTGCGTTCAAAAACCTGCCGGCGCTGACACAGCTGTTCTTCACGGACACAAACCTGACCGCAATTCCCGACAACGCCTTCGCGATAGACCAGCCGTTGAACACAACGTTGAATATAGACCTGGAGTACAATCGGCTGCTGTCTGTTAAGAGTTTTACGGCCAATAGTTTTGCAAATATTGGTAAACCAGCGAAGCTATGGTTCGGTTTAACTGATTTCCTGCCCAATCAGTACCCGTATTGGCCGGAGGGGGTGTTCGAGCGGTTCCTTAACGCCGACGATCGCAATGTAATTGATTTGTGGAAAAAACCGGTCGACTGTCAGGACTGTAGAAATTATTGGTTGAAAACACACCCAAAACTGTTGGATAGAGTGGCCAACGCTAAGTGTACGACCGGTCTGTATGTAAATGATCAGGCTAATTTTAAAGACTGTGTTTAATAACATAATTAATTATGTTTTAATCGTTGAAAAGGTAATAAAATTACTCTTTTGAAATCATTATTGTTATTATTTTTAGAAAGTAAATGAGTCGCTGAGAGAGAGAGAGAGAGAGAGAGAGAGAGAGATTGTGTAATCAATAATTACATTAAATAAATTGTACGACCAGGTACAAATATATTTATTTATATTTATAATTAACAAAAGTTAATTTGTAAGAACTTTGACTACTTGTGGTACACCGGCCGCCAAATGGCCGCCATCAACAATAAAATTGAGCCCGGTCACAAACGATGAGTTACTGCTCGCCATGTATAATACTGAATTGGCCACATCGTCGCCAGTGCCGGGTCGGCCCACTGGGTATTGGCGTCCGTAACACTCGGCCACTGCGTCCGCCTCTAACGTATGCTTCCGTTTACGCGAACCGTTTGTCATAAACTGATAGTCAATAACCGCTCCGTGACTACCAATAGAGGCGTTTCCACGAGTTTTACATAATGTAAATTAAATGTTAACTTTAATAAACTAAATACTAATTAAATGATAATTTATAGATAGAATTGTAAAATAAACTTTAACCTTAATTAGAAACTAAAATTAAATTTTGATAGCATAAATATATAATGTTGTCTCAAAAATCAATCTATAACCATGTTTAGTTATTTTAAATTCCTAATGAACAATGAACATACTTGACCGAGTTGACACGAATGCCTTTTGGGCCTAACTCAACGGCCATACATCTGGTAAACATATCAAAAGCACATTTGGCCATAGAGTGCGGGTAGAGTCCGTGCATCTAGGTTAAAATAAAAAAATAACATTTAGCGGGAAAGACAAAATATACTGTACATAAAATTTTTACAAAACATAACTCGACGTTTAGGTCACAACACATCGGGCCTAACACTTACCGCTTGAAAGGCCGCACCACTGGATATATTGACAATTACACCACTACTGGCCTCCAAGTGCTCGACACACAAATGGGTTAAATAAACCAACGAATGGAGAGTA